TACGTTGGTAGATATAATTTGCTGCATCATTTTAAATTAAAATTTAGTAATGGGGATAATAGGAAAACAAAAACATAGTATCTATATATGTATGATATAATTGTCATTGTTGAGACTTACCGCATTATCCTTTCCTAATTCCTTGCAGTGTTGTATTCGTAGTGACTTCAATAAGGCTTTTTTATTATATCATCTAGATAAGCTTCTTCCTAGTCATCTAGATATATGGCACTGGTCAGGTGATATTTTTGGGCTCAAAAAGCAATCACTAATCACTGCCACTATATATATATTTAAACGGACAGATAGACGGACGGACAGACAGACGGACGGACGGACAAACGGACATGGCTAGATCAAATTGGCTGTTTATGCTGATCAAGAATATATATACTTTATATAGTCTGACTAAAATTATAATACCCTGCAAGGGTATAATAAATGCATAGCTAGCAGAACTAAATCTAGATCAAGGCCTGAATACTTCCTATAGCATCTATATAGGATATAATAATATAATCTATATATATGTATATGTATATGTATATGATATAATAATATAATCTATATATATGTATATGTATATGATATAATAATATAATATGTTTATATGTATGTATATGTTATAATAATATAATATGTTTATATGTATGTATGTGTTATAATATTATAATATGTATAATATATAATTGTCATGGTTAAGACTTACCCCAGTAGAGGACACGTCATTGTTTACCTTCTTCCTCCTTATTATCTTGGTGACTTTAATTAGGGTAATCATGGTATCAATGATCATTTCCTGGTTATCCAGTTGTATTCCAATGGCCACGTCATATATTTGAAGTAGAAGGGAGATCACAATCACTATCACTAACGATGTTAACACTAGGTACCCCTAGGACTGACTGAGGTCGCGGCGATCGAAGTGCCTCTATTTATACTTCCCGAGGCAAGATAACAGAGAAAGAGAGCGAGAGGGAAAGAGCTACCTCTGTAGCTGCAACAGAGGGAGATAGAGAGTAAGCGCCATCTCTACAGCGCTGTAACAGAGGGAGGCAGGCATACCAAATGTTATTGTGAGTAAGAAAGAGAGCGAGAGTGTGGGAGGCAGAGGCTTATAGAGGTATACAGAAAGAGAGGGCGAGAGTAAGCTATTCACTGCCATTACAATATTATAATAATATGTGAACCGAAACTAACTTCCGCCCGCCAAATTTAATTCGATCATTATAATTTATAATCAATATATTTTATATATATTTATGTTAAAAAGTAAGAGCTATCTTGAGATAGGCAGAGCGACTTACAGAGAAAGAGTTAGCGATGAACAGAGGGAGTTTGACATACAGCAAAAAAAGAGATAGAGAAAGTAAGAGTAAGAGAGAGAGAGGGAGAGAGCTGCTAATGCTGATCAAGAATATATAACATATATTTATAATATTGCGTGCAAACTTTTCACTAAAATTATAATACCCTTGCAAGGGTATAGTCAATGCCCACAAAAAATACAATCTAAAATAAATGGCCAAAGAAAATGCACTGCAGTGACTTTCCCAAAAAAAAAATGGCAAATATCTTTTTTAGCTAAAAAACCATTTATTTTCTATGTCTGTATTACTTTCTATGCTGTAAATTAAGTTCTCTGAAAGCAATATAGTTAAAGGACACTTTAAATTTATTGCATAATATTTCGAAACTTCTAGTTTTAATAACTTAAACCTTGATTCCATCGAGAGGCTTTAATTAAATTCCATTTGAAGAAGAATTTATTCAGTGACTTCCCTTACAAATGGCACATATCTTTCTTAGCTGAAACCATTTATTTTCTATGTGATATAAGGACTATTTTCTGCATTATTCGAAACTTCTAACTTATTTTGAAATATTTAAAAACGTCTAGTTTTAATAATTTAAACCTTGATACCATCACAAGGCTTTAATTAAATTCCATTTGGGGTAAAATGTATTCAACTTTTTCAATTTTATTAGTTGTGACAGATAATTTTGTATCCCTTTTTCCCCTAGCATCCCTATTATTCCCATTTATTTATTTTCGTCCAGCTGACCTTTTCTCCGCTTTTATATCCTTGCTTCTGCTGCTGCTGCTGCTGTCAGTGAAAGGTCGAATGTTTTGAATAAACCACACAAAATAACCCCCCAGTTCGGCGACATATTCATAAATATTTTCAGCACATTTGTGATAGCCACTTTGCACTATTTGCAGTGCCAATAAATATTCTATAAACAGTAAGGAGTGGAACTCTCTCTCTCTCACTCTCTTGAAGTCCTTAAAAAATGTTTATTCTGCGTTGCTGCCACTTTATTTATGGCACTCAGCAAGGAAGAGGGGTCATGGGGTTAATTTAACTGCATTGTGCACCCGGCCACGCCCACTTAAGGGGTATGGGGAGAAGGTCCTTTGTGGGTTATTGTCATTGTCCACTTTCGTTATTACTCGTAAATGGATTAATGCGCTCAAACCGAGACAGCTGAGAAGGAGCTAATGTTGCTGTTGCTCTCTTATTTTTTTGCCTCCCCCCCCCCCCCTTTCTTTCTTTTAATGCATTAAGGTTAATTCCTCCTGCCTCCATTGGGGGTATTCTATTACAACTAGAGATGACAGACAATAGGGATGTATCGATATTGTATTGATATCTGTTGCAAAAATATCGATATGTCAATACTGCAATATATGCATTCGATATTATTTTTGATGCTTCTATCATATCAATATAATTAAAAAAAGATACTATGAGCAACATTTATTATATCATTTTCGAAAATATCAATCTTTTAAGATAAAATGAGATATTTTTCTACAATTAAAAACTTGTTTAAGCAAAGTTAACAATATCTATAATAATATATTATGTGGAATATCGTTTTATTCATATAAAATCAGTTTCCTCAATATATATATCCTTAGGATATAAATATAGATGTATTATAAATAAAAAGCAATATGTTAACATTGCGTTGTTCTATTTGATATATAAAAACAATAAAACTAAAAAGGAAACCCAAATATAATGGTGTTTTTTCCATAATATCGTTTCTACGTTTAAAACGAAAGTTTAAGGTATTTAAAATAACGATATATCAACGTTATGATATTATCAATGTGATATAAGTGGGGTCATATATACCTAATCGGACTTTATCTGTGGGTGATGATATTAATATCACTTTGTGACTGAAAAATACACAAAATATCACTTATTTATATCAAACAATTTGATATTTTTTGTTCTGTGCTGCTTTACACATTTTTTGTTAGCTGTTCTTTGTAGACAAACTTCCTTTGCCCGCTTTTGTTGTTATCCGTTTTGGGTTTTTTTTGCCACTCTTGAGCTTGTTTTTGAGCTGTCGTTTTTTATTCTTTTTTTCTTGTGTTCAGTTATTGTTGTCATCGTTACCTTCCTTAGGCTGATTCTTCAATCTCGTCTTGTTTCTTTTTTTGTATTAGAAAGGCAGGGACAAAAAAAACCCAGAGAGAGTGAAAGTGAAAGCGTGACAGCCTAGAAAGTGTGTAAGGATATTTTTTCGAAGGCGTCAAGCGCTCATAACAAAACAACAATGCAAATCTGAATCCTGCCGACTTTCTCCCACCATTCATCCGCTTCGCCTTTGCCTTTGTACGTGATTTCTTTGGGCAGACAAAAAGAGGCGAACAGACAAGAAAAAACGTCGAGGAAAATGCCGGGGGAAAATGTATGCGGGGAGGGAAAGCGGAAAAAATAATAAAGAAGAGTTAATTAGAAAAATGCTTTTGGTCGTGTGGTTATTATTAAAAGAAAGAGAAAAAGACAATTGAAAAAGAGAATGAAAGAAAGAAGGAAATAGTTAATCGCATCCTTAGTGTTGCCCACTTAAGTAGGCAATATTTTTGCACATTAAGTAAATAATGTGTTTATTAAAGATTATTATACTGTTTATATACACAATAGCTGGGAATAATTATTGTGTTTAGTTTATGAGTTAATATAACATACAAATAAATATATTCTTTTTTATAAAGATGTACAAAATATTAGAATATATTTAAAACAAGAAAAGATACTAACTTTGGGAAACCGAAGTTTCCAATCGAATAATTTGTTTGTATCAGAAATCGATCATAGCTAAGTTAAACAAAATTCGCATTTGTTGAATTGATATTTTTTTAAGACAATTTATTCGACAAATAAAATTTGTATAATTTCATAACTAAGCTAAAAAGTCATTCATTTTGATTTGGTAAACTTTCCTATGTTTGTTTTTATAAGGACAATAAATCTGTATACTCTATTTTAAAATTTAGTAAATTTCAAATTTTTGTAATTTTTTGTTTTTAATTTTAACGATAATATATTATGAAAAAATTTCAAAAATTTATTTTTGCACAGAACATGGCTAGATAGACTCAGTTTTTGGTGCTGATCAAGAATATATATGATTTATAGGGTCGGAAATGATTCCTTCATAATATTTTAAGCTTTTGGCTAAAATTATAATACCTTGTAAAGGTATAAAATCCTTTATATTACTTTTTTCAGTGCTCTAAACAGCAAAATTAATTAAATTAATAAACATATTAGAAAAAGTATAATCATTGTAAATATTTTAATGCTTTTGTATTTAATATTTTAAATAATATATTATTATTATTAATTTATTTTATTATTTTAAGCAATTTAAGGCTTTTGAATTGGTTTATATTTAACAATTATTATTATTTATTTATTTTATTACTTTAACCAATTTAAGGCTTTTGTATTTATTTTTATTTAACAATTATTTAAGCTAATCAAGTTCTTTTTTACTTTTTAATTGAAATTAAATTCAGTTTTATTATTTAATTAGGTTTCTGTGTCTTTAGTAAAATTTATTATAGCCACAACATTTTAATTAACATGAAGCAAGCCCCAAAAAAAAAGGCTTATGTATATTTTTTTCTCTATATATAAATATATATATTAGTACTTACACACATATTTATGTATATATATATATTCGTTAACAGTTGTTTCTCTTTTTCACCTTAGTCCCTTTTGTTTGCCTTTGTGAGCCACAGATACGGTTCTTTATTGTTTTACTTTGCCAGCTTCGACACTGTTGTGTTGGGATTTGTATTGTTGTTGTTTTCCCTCGTCCTGGCGGCAGCCTGCGACAAGTGCCAAAATGTAACTCGTACTTACTCACTCACTTACTTACTTACCCAGTTAGTTACTTACTTAGTGGGGCTTATGGCCAAATAAGTTATTGTTATGAAAATGCCAAGACAAAAACAAGAGCGAAAACGTTCTGTACTCCTGTGTGTCCTGTGTATCCTGGGGAAAAGGAATGCAGGCGAATTAATTTATGTTGGCAGAGCGTAGGAAACAATGCAAAAGGAGTGGGATGAGGGGAGTGCAAGGACATTAACCAAGCTGACAGGGAATTAGTGGAGCACATTTTTCAGGCCTCCAGGAAGATGACAGCCGTGAAAGGTGAGGCGTAGCTAGAGAGAGAAAGGGAGAGAGAGTGAAAGCAACATCCTGTCAAAGGATTTCACTCCCGGGGGAAATTTTCAAAAAGCTACTTTTCGACAGGCAACGGAAATCGCAGAACCTTTAAACAAAACACTTGAATATTCAAGAGTTCTAGTAGGATTTCATGGGTTTATATTTATTTTACATTTAATTATATTTAAAAAGAGAAAAAAATCACTCAAAAATCTGCACCAAGGTTCTTTACATCTCTTCCCATTCTTTATTTCAAGCAAACTTGTTCATTATTCTTCTAACCAGAAAAGGAAAAACTTGCCAAAGGCCAAGAAAAAAAGAAGAAGAAATAAACGTTAGCTGAGCGGTGGCTTAAAGGAGATTTTAACCCAGTTACCTTTCCTAATTAGTCGCAGCTTTTTGCCAATTTCTTTACAAATTTATGCCATTTAGCAGCCGACTTTCAAAACCTTTTACCCCCCTTACTTCCTGTACTTCTTTTGCCTAATCTCGTGCATACGGGGCGTATACTTAACACGTTTTTTATGAATCGCCTTTTCCTGCCACTGCTTAAGCCATTAATTTTTTAACCCAGCCCAGAAAAATGCTACCATTTTCCAGAGAAAAAGAGAAAAGTTTAAAAAGCACATAGAGCTTGTCATTAAATAACTCATAATCTAGGCGTCTATAAATTAGGCGAAGCCAAGCTTGTATTATTTATAAACTCAACTGTGGGATACTTTTATAGCCTTGGCATTCTACTTGGGTTTCCTTTTAGCACTCATAAATTAGGCATAATTAAAATGTATGTGCTTCCTTTTTTCATCAATTTACAATTAGCATCCGAAATAATGCTATATTTGTGCTTTTAATTCCATCAACCGCTTTAATGGCAATTAATCGAGGGTCCATTAATTGCCACACAAATGTTACATAAAGTCATTAATTTGCAGACTCTTTGTTTTTCTTTTTATTAATTTGTTTTTATTGCGAAATTCCACACATTAATGTGTAATTTATTCAAATGGCTCTCTGTTTCCGTAATGGAATTTTGATTTTATTAATTAAATTGCAATGGTTATTAATGGTTATATTTTATATACCCTTGCAAAGTATTATTTTAGGCAGACCCTTTAAAAGTATATATATTCTTAATAAGCATCAGCAGCAAAGTTAATCTAGTCATGTCCCTAAAATTTTAATTGTAAAACTTTAAAAATATTATGTATTGGTAAATGTAACAAAAGTAGGCATTACTTCTTTGGTTTTAATAGAAATACATGTATGTAATTTATAATGTATTAATTGTTATTGATCTATTAATGCATTTTGCAAGGGTATACAAAATTCGAGGTGCCAAATTTAGCCTCCTTTCTTGTTATTTATTTGATTTTATTTTGAACATTGAGAAATTTCCACATTAATGTGTAATTTATTCAAATGGCTCTCACTTTCCGTGATGAGATTTTGATTTTATTAATTAATTTGCCATTTTGCGCATAAGTACTTTTTATGGTATTTAATTGGGATGTTATTGATTTGTATTATTTTCTAAACTAAATCAACTTTAAGGAAACCCAAGAAAAATAAATTTAAAAGCTAATCCATATTTATTAATTAATTTGCAAATGAGTATTAATGATTATGTTGTATGTTTTTTACCTATAAAATATTTAAAGCCAGTCTCTAGGATTTTTAAGATTTTAGTATTGTTTTTAAAAGAAACTAATTTCGAAGTAGAGCCCAGAAAAATGAATTAAACCTTTAAACTTTAAATTCAAATTTCATTATATAATAATAATAATTAAATAAATTAAAATAATTAATCTTACCATATATTTCCATGTGCAACTGATCACTTTTGGGGATCATTTTCTTGGGCCAACTTAATGTCAAGGCCGCTTTCCATCTTCTTCGAGTGGGGAACCCCATTTCGTTTCTCCGCCCCCCCCCCCCCCCCCCCCTTTTATCCTCTTCACTAATTTGTTGTTGGTAAAATTTAGCTTTTTAGAGGGAGCTTTTTACACACTGCCATTCGATGCTGCTCCATTGCCAAATTGTTGCGCTTTGCAATGCGGATGTGTGCGTGTGCTTTGTTCCATTTTGTTTCCTTTCCGTTCCGTTCTGTTCCGCCTGTTGCCGTTCCATTTCCCGCACTTTCCGCTCTCACTCAGCATCGCTAAGCATTTTGACGCTCTTCGTTTTTCGCTTTCGATGCACTTCGTCGAATGTCGTGTCGCGTGTCGTTCGCCTTCGCCGCTCTTCATTTCGTTTTCCGTTCCATCTCTCCATCACCAGTGTTGACAAATTCAAAAACAGCTAGGCTTTCTTTCAGTTTATTACAATATTTTAAAATATTTAATTCTAAAAAGAGATTTAAAGGATATAAAGAAATTAGACTTTAAACTTTAAAGTAACAAAAAAGGATGTACACTTCGAAAACCCAAAATTTAAGTACCATTGCATTTTCGATTGATCATAACTAACACAAAAATGCATTAATTTCAATTCGACAAACTTTTCTGTGCTAGTTTTTACTCAAAAATAACTCCTTCGATACCCTCAAATGGGTATTAAAATTTAAATATTTATCTACAAGTTTATATGATGATTTTTTGGCAAAAGTAAAGCTTAAAAATTTCAAAACTTCGCCAAAAAGGTATCAATTTTAATTTGGAAAGCTTTTCTATGTTAGTTTTTATTAGGTTTATAATTCTGCATACTCAATTTAAAATATAAAAAAATTAACAATTTCATACATTTTTGACAATTTTAACGATGTCACCCATTATCAAATTTTGAAAATTAAAAAAAAAAAAAAATAATTTCTGGAGGACATAACTAGATCGACTCAGTTGTTTATGTTGATCAATAATACATATGATTTATAGGGTCGGAAATGAATCCTAAAATTATAATACCAGTATAATCATAGGTATACAAATAAAATAGAAAACCTACAACTTGTTGTCGATCAGCTTCTTACGAGAATCATTAATGCACCATTAAGAGATTTGTAATATTTCTTATTAATTATTTAAAAATTGTATTGTGTTACATCAAACGTAAAAAAGAATCAAAGTAATAACTTTGCTTTAAATATTACAATTGTATTATTAAAGAAATTAATAATAAAATCATAGTAATAAAATAGTTTTGATAATAGGGGTAATATTGAGCTCTACAGTAATCACTAATTATTTTTTAATTCTTAAAAATAATTAAAAATGTTAGCCCACAAAAGTTTACATTGGAATACAAATTCCAAATAAGAGTATAGAAAATAATCAAAAAAGGAATAGAATATAATTAAAGAAACAAGAGAGATGAATATACATAGTTTACTTTTCTATTTCAATATCTATACTTTATTTCAATTATTTCTATCAGTATCTATACTTTCTTTCAATTGTAATATATTACTCTTCTGTTTCTATACATGTAATAAGGTTATTTTAATTGTTATATAACTTTTTCAAATACGAATTCAAAATATAAAGTAAAATATTTACCAAAGATTTAATATTGTATTGAGATGTAGAATTTCGTATATAGAAAGCTCACCAAAATACAAGCCAAGTTAGCATCTCTTTGGCCTCCGTTCCTTCGCTCGTTTTGCTCTGTAGTGAGTGGCTCGGCTTTTGGCTTTCGGCTTCTGTTGGTGCTTTTTTTTCTGGCTTATTTTGTTGGTCGGTTGGCCCATTGGTGTTGCCTCAGTCACCGCATTCGGTTCGCGTTCTGTTTTAGAGTTGTGCGCTTCGGGAACGCGCGTAAAATTCCGACACAAAGAAAAGAAAAGAAACTATATAAAACAACAACATAGAACAACATTAAATATAAATAAAAAAATAATAATAAAAACAAACAGAGGACAAAACTATTCGGCATATTCGGAGGAGAAACGAACTCATTTATATATATTTATAAATAAAATGTGTCACGAATATTGCAGCAACCCTGAAACAGTGAACTTTCGAGCGGACCAATTGAGGTTTCAATTAAAATTTTGTTATAACCGAAAATAAATAGGAATTCTCGCTGCACGAGAGCAACAGTTCCAAGTGGGTAGTACCAAGGGGGGTGCTGGTGGGTTAAGGGTGGATTGTGGCAGGTCAATCGGGTGTTAAGGATAGGGGGAGAGGCTGAGGGGGGATGAGGTCTCAAAATATAATCCAGAGAGACGAGAGCAAAAGGCGAGTTTTGATATGAAAATAGGTGCTCTCGCTCTCGGAGTGATGTTAATCAACATATCTAAAAAAAACCGTAACAATACTATATACTTATTTACTGGATATTGATACTATATAGTTAATAACAGCTTCGAATTGAGGTCAATATCTAAATGTGTGAGGTGTTAAAATGCCTTAAATCTTGAGAGTAGTAATTAAATGAGCTTAAAACCTTAATTGAAAAAGAAAACAAGCAAGAAAATAGGGAAAAGGATTTACAAATTCTATAAAATATATCATTTTAACATTGAATTAAAGGTTTAACAACAAATGAGAACCTTTTGAATAAGTTTGTTATTTAAATGAATGAAATTTTTTGTTTACCAAGCAAAATAACTAAAAACTTATTGTAACTTGGTTGAAATTCTAAAAATTAATACTTTAAATTAAACAATTATGATGGGAATTTTATTTTCTTTAGAGTTGCAAGAGTTCGTTCTATAAAAAATATAATTCTATAAATTAAACAAAAATCTAACTAAAACTAAAAAATAAAAATAACCCTTTTAAATGGGTTTAATATAAATATAAATTAACTATTCATATAATGAATTATTTACAAAGTAAAATAATTAAAAACTAAATTAGAAATTCTTGAAATTATCAAAATAAATATTATAATAAATAAAATGTTTTTGTTTTATTGTAATTGTTCATTCTATAAAATATATAATTTTAACAATAAATCATATTGTATATTACAATTGTTCATTCTATAAAATATATAATTTTAACAATAAATTAAAAATTTAACAGCAAATGACACCCTTTTTTGGGGTTTATTATTTAAATCAATTAACTTTTGGCTTACAAAGTAAAATAATTAATAACTGAAACGGAACATTGTTTAAAATATTAAAAATAAATTATTTAAATTAAACTTATTAGATGCGTTTAATTTCTGTTAAATTGCAAAAGTTCATTGTATAAAATATTTATTATATAATAATTAAATCAAAAACTAAACAACAAAAGATAACCTTTTTTAAGAGGTTTATTGTTTGTATAAAAAAACTATTGGTTAAAAAAGTTAAATTTGAAAACTAAAACGAAACTTTGTTGAAATCATTAAAATAAATATATTAATTTAAATAATAAAGATGCTTGCAAGAGTTCATCTTAATATCAGTACTAAAAATCAAAAAGATCTATGATTTTTACTGCTACCTTTGGGAACTGACCTTTAATTCGTTTCTAAAGTTCTCAAAACTGACCTTCTCAACATTTAATTCGTTTCTTAAGTTCTCAAAACTGACCCTTTTCAACATTTAAGTCTTTACTGGAAGTTCCTGGCAAACTTAACAATGAACCTGAAGAGCTGATGGAATTAGAGATTGATTGAGAAATCCAAATGGATGACACTCTCTGTCTGTCGCAACTTTCGAGCAATCTGCACTGAGCATTTTGAGAAGCCTGTGGGTGGGATTTTACTTCGTCCTTAGAGCCACCCTCTCTCTCTCTCTCTCTCTCTCACACTCTCTTTCTCAGGTGCCTCAGGGGGTGGTGGGTGCTGCGTGGTGGGTGGTTTGTGAGTGGGTTGGGTGGGTTCTTTGGTTTGCTGAAAAGGTTTAGAGAGGCCCCGAGGCTTTGGCTTCGTTCTTCGCGTTGCGCTTGACACGTTTTTTTTGCGTTCGCTTTATGTTTTTTTTTTCTCACAGCCTCAGGTTTTCCATCTCTCATTTCCATGAAGAAGAAACCACTCCATGTGTGCGCTTGTTTGTGTGTGTCACTCTGTTGTGTTTATGTTTTATTTTCATTTCGTGTTTCTTTTAATTGCCAACTGCCCGGCTCTCGTCCTTGAGTTTCCTCTCCTCCCCCTATTTTCCACCCTCCCCTTCTTTGGCTCTATATTTAAACGCATCACATTGCATCGCTAACTGGCTACAGTTGTGAAAAATCAAAACAAACACTTCATAATAAAGAAAATGTATAGAGGAGGAGAGGAAAAACGAGAGATCTATGAAAGAAATTAGTTGGAAAATGTTAATGTTACGTGGAGAACCTCTAGAAAATAATATATACAAGTTAATATATAAAGATATTTAATAATAAACTTTTTTATATATTTTATATAATATATTTATATTTAAAAGTAAAATAATCAGGCAAATTTTAAAATTTATAATATTATTCATTAACATATCTCTGACCTCACAGATCAATTAATTTTGTATGATTTATGTGCGAACAGCGAAAATCCATTAAAAATCGAAGGAAAGAGTTGGGTAACTTTCGGTATATATATTTTTAGAAAAGCCCTAAGATAATCTTTTGGGATTTCGTGCTTAAAATCATTTGAAAATATTTATAAATACTTTTTAGATACAAAGAAATTTCAAGAAGAATATAGAAAACTATCACCATAGTATTTCTTCTGATAATTTACAATGTGTTCGTTATCAAGTCGGCTCCCGCTTTTAGATAATTTACAGTCCAGAATATACTATATATACTACTATATCTTTGTTGAATGGCTCTGAATTGATGTGAATTCAATTAAAAAAACAGTCGCCGAGTTGGAATTCCAAAGTAAATGAAATACAGAAGGTAGAGGAGAGGAGTAGGTTCAAGGGGGTAAATAATTATAGAATGAAAACAAAATCGAATGAATGAAAACAACTGAATGGATGGACTGACATTGGATTGATCTGATATGGATCTAGTTTTCCCAACCAAATACCTCTTCATTATTTTTATATATTTTTTCACGCCTTTTGTTTTTATGAAAAGCTTACCGTATGTAAAGATTAATGGTATATATTGACATTTATTGCTGGTCATATGGGGCGTATACGTAATTTTTGAAAGGAAACATTTATTTTTTCCCATTTTCTATAGGGTTTATTCAAGTATGTTTTATATAGATACTTTGGTTGGGGAGCTTTTCTAATTTTCCCCCACTGATTTTTCTCCCTTCCCTCGACCCCATTTCCCTACCCCTCCCCCGCCCCCACATTGATTACTCGAATCCAAAGTGCAGTCGTGCGACTCAAAGAAAACTGAGGAAAATTCATAATATGCATGGCGAATAGAAAAGCTACAGCCAGAAAAGTTGTGAGAAGAAAATATTGAGTAAAAGTAGAAACACTTAGACATTACACGGGTCCAGTTCTCACCTAAAAAAGTTTGGATTTTCCTTCACTCCTCTACCATTTTCCTTTCCTTTTATTATTTGTTGTGCTTTTTATTCGAGGAAATTCTTGTACTTTGAGTGACTGTTAGCCAGGATGTCCTTTTGGTTTTTTTTTTTGCTGGCAAACAAACAAACAAACAAAATAAAGAAAGAAAACGAAGGAATGCAATAAAATCTTGTCAACTTTTATATTGCTCTGCTGGCAAAAGTACTTAGGGGAAAGATAGAACGAAACGAGTAAAGACTTTAAGTGCTGTAAAGACAAGCGGGAATTAAAGGTATCTGTAACAAGTGGTAAAAGGACATTTCAAGGGGTCTTTAATATACAATTTATAATAGCAAGAACTCACTTGGAACTGTTGTTTTTGAATCTAGAAAACCAAAGCCACAACTATGCCCAGCCAAAGTATGTAAAACCAAATCAAAAGAACCAATCAAAACAAGTGAAACCTAAATCAAAAAATAAACATAACTAAATCAAAATAAATCCATATAAAAATGTGCCCGAAAACATCAAAAACCACACCCTTGCTACTGATCGCTGGCATTTGTTTTGTCATCGTTCTTGTGGGTATTACGGGTATAACCCTGATCAATAACATAAACCTATCGAATATAATTCGATTGAACGAGAAGGTGGCCAGCGATAGTGTCAGCAACAATGAGAATCAAATCAAAGAACTCAACTATGTGAATAATCATCCGCGAAATATTTATCTAAAATTAAATGCAACCAAGGAGGAGGATAATGATGGGGAAAATGAAATGCAACGAGAGCAGGAGCATTTGCTAGAGATGCCAAAAATATCGGCTGTTATTGGTGAAACAATACCAAACATTCTAGAGAGAGAGAATCAATTGATAGATTCACAGGAAATACCAGTTCGTGCTTCTACTTTTGCTCCTGCTTTTTCCACTTCTCAGACGATGGAGAGTCCTCAACCTTTGCCCTTTGGCGGGGTCAAGACCAATGGCTCCTCCGGTGATGGTTTGATTGATTACGAGAAGCGAAACCAAGTCGTCAAGGTGAGTCAAGGGTTAAAGGCAGTCTGCATGTCGGGTTTAAGGGGGTTAAAAGAAGAAACAGGTGGGTTAAAGGTGCAAACTCAATGCGTAGTATCCATTTCAAATGCTTGACCTTTTTTTATTCTTGTTGTTGTGAAAGCAACTGACAGGAATCGGATTACCTTAAATGCTCAACTAATGCGCAGCCAAAAACAACTTTTGGGTTTCCCCCTTTTTCAAATTACTCTGCATAAATTTGCAATGAAAAAATAAATAACTTTAAAGGCGTAACTCTAAATGTTTGTTTATATACAATACGAAAAGGGTTCCACTTGATTCTAAAAGTACACAAACTTTTGATAGAACAAAATAAATATTTATAATACTTG